TCAGCAGGAGAGCCCAGATGACCTTAACAGTCACGTCTGGCCTTTAAATCTGAGACAGTCTTGAAGAAACGATTCACCTGTTTCACATATACATTGAGTGAGTGAGAAAGTAATATTTCCAACTGAACTTGGGTTTTATGACACCCTGTGTTTACTTTAGAGGTAAAAATTTATTTTCTGGTCTTGCACCGGTAAAATATTTGGAAGGCCTTGAGAGCACTGTAACAACAAACAGAGCATTCACAAATCCCCCAATGGGCCGATTTTACTAATAGCACACATTTGGTGAAAATAACCTCTGATGTACCAGCAAGATTCCAGATGACAACATTAGTGCACCTGCAGGTTTTAATTGGTGCAAAAAAGGGAAGAATATGAGGTACCAATTACTCTCTCAAAGCCTAAGAATTGAGGATGTTTTTGGCAAGGAGGCTTGTAATTCCAACATAAAATTGCACACAGCATGGAATAAACAGGGCCTGCATTATTTATCATGCATTAGACAATTTTTGACTTGTAAAATTCTGAGAAGGCTGAATGAGAGAGGTGAATCTTTAACACTGGACCTACTGCAAAGTTAATTATAAGTACTATGTCTGTCTTGCAGATTTAAGGATGTACAAGTAGCAGTGAAACATTGTAATTCAATACCAGCTCCCAATCCAGGGAGTAATCTAAATATGGTAATAATTGGGTAGTTAAAAAATACGCATCGATGAGACAATGATTATTACATGCTGGAGAATTTCGCTGGTAATTCTAATCTTCTAAGATGAGCTGCACAAAATTCAGCTAATCTTAAACTTAAATTCCCCAGCAAGAGTGGAGCGGTCAGTTGGTAGGTTGGAGCCAAATGCCGGTGACATTTCTTGCTTTATTCTAATAACGAGCTTTTAAAAAAAGCTGTGAATGACATCACAGAGCCTCCTAAGAACTTAGTAGTTTCAGAATGTCATTCATAGATATTGAGAATATCTAGCTATATTGTTGAGGGCAAAAAGACTCACATTGGCAAGTCCTTTTTGTTAACATTTGTCTTAAATGCAGTGAATGCTGTTCCGAGCAGCTCACTGTTGAAATTAGGCCTTGTGTAAAAGTTAGGTACCCGTTTATTAGCTTTGTGTGCATCAGACCTTTAAATGTGTCTTCTGTCATGTACGGAGTAATCAGGTCTATCTCTGCCTCATGCAAACATGGAGGGGGTGTGTGTCTAAGATGTGTTTAATCAATACAACCTCATATCTAGTCCCAGGTTTCATTTCTAACCACTGTGTCTGATTATTCTGTAGGATTGGCCGATATTTAAAAACACTGCATATAGCAGTAGTCTTATTAGTAACAGCAGACTATCTCTAATACTATGGAGAAATGTAACATGGGAGAGTTTCTGTTGTCATCTTCAATTTATTTTTTTTGTCTCTGTTACTGTTGTTAATGGTCAGTCTTGAGTTTTTTTAACCCACTAACTTTAACGCAAAAGAAAAACTGTGGAAGACATGGCTACGTAAAGGAACTCATTTTTGAATCATACCTTGCCTCCTGCTCTGTCCTGCTTGTGCTCTGTGCCTCAACAAAGGAGTTAGAACATGTCTTTTTTGGCAGCCACCCTGTGCAGCAGAAGGCTGGGCTTCATGGCACACTGCTGTCCCCACAGTTATGCTCCAGGGCTGGTGGCTTGAACTAAGTGAGGAAATGTGAGGCAGCTGCGTTATCTTGGGGTGCAGTATCAGAGACTATGGAGATGGTAGAGTCTCTTGCAGAAGATGTGGTGCTGGGCCTTGGTCTGTTCTAAGCAGATACAGCTGCTTGCCACTGGAAGGATTTGTACAGCTGTTGCCCAGTCTGGTTTAGTGTCCTTGAGTTGGATACATAGAATAACTTAGGTTGATTGGGCTATTGGAGTTATTTTTGATGGAAATTAATTCAAACTTATGTTAAAGATGTGAAAATTGGAGGCCTAAGTGAGGCTAACTGAATATGGGAAAGTTTTTAATGCTTTCCACAGCCACCTGTTTACCCTGCCTCCATGCAAGGCAGTGGTTTAGGAAGACAAAGCAGTGATGGTTTATCTTAGTAGACTGCCATGCAAAAGACCCACGGCAGAAATGGCGCTGGCAGGTTTTAGCAAGCGCCCTCCACCTACCTGTGTAACCATCCTTCATTTGTAAGGAAGCACTTCATGAGCAGGGTGGTGGGAGGAGAGCTACAATCTGCCAGGAATGGTCAGTAGGGAGCAGCTGAATTCGGTTTCCTCTTCCACATCACACCTGGATGCTGGGGGAGACATTAGTAGGGCCTAAACTGCACTGATGACCACCTGTCTCAGGGGCCTGTACATGAATACTCTGCATTCACCCTTGCGAACATGAGCAGAATTTTGCCTAGGTTGTGCTGGGCTTTATAAATAATCAGTTCATCGTGATCTGAAGCGAAAGAAAAAGAATAGATTTCTCAATTTCATAAGGCAGAAAGCAAGTGAAAACAACTCAAAATAAACAAGAAAACCCAAAAACTGCTGCCACACAAAACATACTTGGATCATTTTATTTTCACTAGGTGTTACTTAGTTCTACTACTTATAATCTTAAGTGTGGCACAGTAGGAAGCTGAGAATGCAACTGTGTATCGCCTAAACAGTAATGAGACTTAGCTACAGCATCTCTTGTTAAATCTTTCTTGTTAATTGGGAGAAGACAGCCTGGCTGCACATCATTGTGTTGAGAATTAGAAACAATCTATGGTAGTTACAGTAAAGAGGAACAGCAAGTCACTGATAGCTGCAACTTTTTTAATTAAAAAAAAAAAAAGAGAGAGAACAGGCGCGTGTGTGTTTAGATGCTATAGTAGAGGATTTGTTGTAGCCTTTTGGCTTCCAAAGTAGTCATGCATTCCTGTAAATTGGTGTTTCTCAAACTTTGTGAAAGCATGGCCTCCCTTTTTGCATCATCTGTCTTTTTATGCAACTATTAATTTGGCAGCAGCTCAGTTTCT